CGCGCTGGGAGCGGCGTCGGTCACGCCGGCGACGCAGGACAACTACCTGACACGCCTGGAGATGCTGCTAAGGTGGCTGATGCGGAGGCAGGCTCCGACGCTCAACAAGGACGAGTGGGATGTTCTCTTGGCGAGCTACATCGAGCACCTGTACGACTCGGGGGCGACCGAGAACGCCGGGGGAACGACGCTGGCTGCAGTGCGGTGGGCAGAGCCTGCCATTCCGCGGCCGCTCCGCCGAGGCCTCCCCCTGGCCTCGGCCGCGCTGGCCGGCTGGCGGCGGGCCGAGCCGGGGCGGGCGAGGCTGCCGATGCCGAGCGAGCTGGCTGTCGCGATCGCCCTGGACCTGTGCGACTGCGGCTTGCCGAGCCTGGGTTTCTTCGTGATGCTGGTCTTCGAGACGTATATGCGGCCCAGCAAGGCCCTGTCTCTGCAGCGCTTCCAGCTCGTCCCACCATCCGGCCACGGGCTGCCCGGGACCGAGGGGCGGTGGGCTGTGCTGACCCGGGCCCTCGAGCTCGGCAGGCCTGGCAAGACAGGCGACTTCGACGGCAGCGTGAGCCTCGACCTTCCGCGGCACCAGCTGCTGGTGCCAGTCCTCGAGGAGATCCTCCGCAGGCGGGGCGAGCGGAACCCAGTGTTCCTCTTCGACTACGTGACACTTCTCAGGTACTGGCGAGCGGCGTGCAAGCGGCTCGGCGTCGAGCACCTGCAGCTGACGCCTTACTGCCTGCAGCATGGCGGCGCGTCGGAGTATCGGGCGAGCAACTCTCGCCCCATGCTGGAGGTGATGAAGCGGGGAGGCTGGAAGACCTACTCGAGCCTGGCCAGGTACGCGAAGCACGCGCGGCTCGGCCTGGTGGTGCAGTGTGCCGGAGCGGCAGTAGTCTCAGGTGCCCTACGTCGCGAACCAGACTGGACCAAGCTCTTTCTCGCAGCATGGCAGCCGCCAGACGGGACGCCACGATCGGCCACTGTAAAGTCTTCCTCGATATCTTCTCAGGCACTGGTCCTGTCGGACGCTTTCTGAGAGCGCGGGGTCACGGAGTCATCTTTTTTGAGAAAAAGCTGGGACCTCGGCACGACATCAGACGCACGCAGGTCTTTGCTACAATTATAGGGTGGCTCCGCGCCGGGAGGCTGTGGGGCTTTTGGCTGGCAGCGCCTTGCGTGACCGCCACGCGAGCTCGTCAGAACGGTGCCGCAGGTATGCCACTTCCGTTGCGGTCTAACGAGCATCTTCGTGGGCTGCCAGGACTGTGTGACAAGCTTAAGGAGCAGGTGCGCAAGGCCAACACCCTCATCGATCGTGCAGGCTTGCTGCTGAAGACCGCTGAGGGCTTGGGAGTGCCGTGCGGGGAAGAGAACCCAGCCACTTCGTTGCTGTGGCTTTTTCCTGTGCGCCAGCGGCTGCTGACGAAGTGGCCGCATCCCAGTGATGATTTTTGCTCTTGCGGATTGCCGGTCCGCAAGCGCACTCGCTTGCTTTTTCTTCACGCTGGTAGTCCTGATGCATCTCATTTTGTCTGCTCTGGTCGTCGTGGCATCTGCAAATTCTCTGGAAAGCCACATCTTGTGATCAGTGGTAAATTGCGCGGTGCTTGGGTGTCCAAGCTAGCAGAGCCATATGCTCCTCCCATAGCTGAATTTATTGCACGATGTTTGGAGAATTCAGTTCAACGTTTGGCAGTGACACAGCTCTCTAAAATATGCTGTGCCAGATCACCGGTGGCTTGTGGGCCGTGAGAATGGTTTGAAGTCCGGCGCTTTTCGCGCCATGTGGTGATTTTTCTCGGCAAGCTGCCTCTTGAAAAACTGGCATCGTCTTCATGGGAATGCGTGCATGCTAATGTATATTCCGCGGCCACGGTTTCTCAAGCCAATCTTTGACCGCCCTTTCAACGCCAAGCCCGAGCCCTGCAAATTGTTTGTTCAACAGAAGTGGTTTGAAGTCCGGCGCTTTTCGCGCCATGTGGTGATGTGTCTCGGCAAGTTGCCTCTTGAAAAACTGGCATCGTCTTCATATATATATATATATATATATATAGAGAGAGAGAGAGAGAGAGAGAGAGAGAGAGAGAGAGAGAGAGAGAGAGAGAGAGAGAGAGATAGAGAGAGAGAGAGAGAGAGAGAGAAAGAGAGAGAGAGAAGTAGACAAGGGGAGCGAGATAGAGAGAGAGAGAGAGAGAGAGAGAGAGAAAGAGAGAGAAGCAGTGGGCGGGCGGCCGAGCGCGTGTGCGAGCAGGTGGCGCAGCAACAGGACGGGGCGCATTAGCAGGGAGTTAATCTCGGTGGCGAGTGAGGCGGGGAAGTGAGATGGACAAGGCCTTCTCAGAAGCGGGGTGGGGCTTCTCCGAAGGGTTTTCAGTGTTTTCGGGGAAGGCTTAAAACACTTATCAGACGCCGAGGGCACTTCCGAGCCTTCTGAGAAGGCCCGCCCCTTCTCACTAACCCCCTTCGCTCGCCGCCGACAATCACTCATTTCCGGTCAATCAGCAGGAACAGTCACTGATGGATTTCGAACAAGGATCCATATCAGGAAATCGATCATTGACAGGGCGGGTGGGGAAGCAGAGTACTGATAGCAGCCTTTCATCGCTGGCGGGAGCACAAGGAGTGGGGGAAGTGGTCTGGGGCGCGCAGTTGACATCTGTGGCAGAAGGAGGACTATAATACTAACCCGGTGGGTGGCCTAAGCAAGTGTGGGATTTTGGCATGTCGTGGTGCCGTCGGGTGTGTGTGAGCCGGGAAACGGATGATAGAAAGGACACGCAGCGCGAGGAGGAGTAGGAGGAGTAGGAATAGGAGTAGGGGTAGGAGTAGGAGTAGGAGTAGGAGTAGGAGTAGGAGTAGGAGTAGGAGTAGGAGTAGGAGTAGGAGTGGGATGAGTAGGATTTGGATGATTTGGAGGATTTGGAGGATTTGGAGGAGGAGGAAGAGGAGGAGGATGAGGAGGAGGAGGAGGGAGGAGGAGGAGGAGGAGGAGAGGAGGAGGAGGAGGAGGAGGAGGAGGAGGAGGGAGGAGGAGGAGGAGGAGGAGGAGGAGGAGGAGGGAGGAGGAGGAGGAGGGAGGAGGAGGAGGAGGAGGAGGAGGAGGAGGAGGAGGAGGAGGAAGAGGAGGAAAAGGAGGCGTCTCGATGGTCTCTTAGGACGCAATTGGAGCCTCCTTGGGGCTTCCTGGGGGCGCCTCGTGCTTGTGTGTGGTCCTCGTGGGGGCCTCTTGGGGGGTTCCTGGGGGTCCTCATCGCGCCTCCCGGGGCTCAGGCGAACTGTCTTGTGAGGCCACTGGCCAGTCTGGCGCCTTCGGAGGCCGTCTTGCGGCTGCCCTGAAGGTCGTTCTGGCTGTGTGAGGGGCCTCTTGTGGGCGTCTCGGGGGCCTTTTGGGCAATCGTGGGATCTTCTTGGGCCGTGTGGGTGGGCCATGTAAAAGTCAGCTTGGAGGCGCCTTGGGGTGTACTTGGCCTCGAGAAGTCCGACACAGCTACAACGCGAACGTGTGAACCCTGCTGGAAGGGGATGAATTTGGTTTTCTGGGGCTCTGTTGCAGGAGCCGTCGTGGGCTGTACTGGGGGCCTCTTCGGCCGTAGTGGGACCATCGCGGGCTGTCTTGCGGCCATCTAGGTCCGTTTTGCGCCATCTTGAGGAAATCTGGGGCCGTAGGTCATCAGGGTGTGTGCGGGGGGGCCACGCTGCCCGACATGGGGGCTGGGAAGGAGCGCCCCCTGGGGACCCCCCCCAGGCCCACCCCCCCTGGGGACCCTGCCTGGGCTCCCCCCACCCAGGCGGGGAGGGGATCAAAGGTGCTTCCCTTCGACTCGATAACGACCTGGCTCGCTATGGCCGCCGTGCAGGGGGGAAACGCCCTCAATTCAAAGAGCGCCTCTCAGGACCACTCCGGGACGACTGGCCAGGAACTCGCCCTCACACGCGCCGAGGTGGTCGGCGGATTTTTAGCAGAGGTTGTTTCCAGCGGGCCAGGGTCGCGGGTGTCGAGCGAACGGCTGGCAATGGTGCGTGCGTGCGGGCGGCCTTGGGGTGGCTGACGGCTGCGTTTTCTTTTGAAGGCCAGCCCTTAGTGCTGCTCCTCTGTCGCCATCTTGCCCCCGTGTTGTTTTCGACCCAAGCGTCGGATGAACTTCGTTTTTGCTCTTGGGCCAGTTTGCGTAGGTGCCGCGACGCAGCCGGAAACATACGTTCGAGTCTTTCTACATTTTTTTTCCGTGGGCGCATGCTATCTCGCGCATCCATACTTACTATCAACGGTGGGACGGAGGTGGGGGAGGAGGAGGACGATGAGGTGGAGGAGGAGGAGGAGGAGGAGAAGCATCGTCTGTTTTGTTAGGTTTGATTGGAAAGAGGACCTTGTCGCAACGAGGGTTCGGGATCATTTGTTGGTGTACGATGTCTTCGTTCTTCGGTGCCTCCCTGGATTGGCTCATTCGAAGCATCTTTAGGCAACTTTGTGCGAACCTCTTGACATCTCTTGGAGTATCTTGTGGACAACTTGGACCTCGGGTGGGTTGTTGGACCGTCTGGATCTGGTCGTGGGGTATATTGCAGCCATCTTGGGGTGGTCTTGGGCTGTGTTGCAGCCATGTTGGGACCGAACAGGGTCATGGTGAGGCTTCGCAAGGGGGTGGGGCGGGGGTTTACGCGGGCCAGTGTTACTCAAAGCGTGACGGCTCTTTGAAAACATCGACAGCTCCCACACGCAGCACGACGTGCCGCAAGCACGGTTCGGTTCTGCAGAGCTTCAGTGCTTGGCCGCCTCCCTGCCTGTTATGGCTTCTTCCACCACAATGTCTACTCTACTGCTTTTCGTACCTCTATTTGCGGCCTCTCCCCCACTCCACATCATGCTCTTCATGCGCCTCGTCATGCTTGTTTTGCTTCTTCCCCTCGCCACTCTTGACTTCGTCCACCTCCGCCTTCTCCTCAACTCTTTCTCTGCACCCCCTGGTCGTCGTCGTCCTCTCTTCTTATCGCCCTGCGGCTGTCTTGCTCGAAGCCCAAGGAAAGCCCACCTTGGACAACGATTGCTCGTGAAAAGAAAATCTGAACGTGCACGTATACTGCACGTTGCCTTGCTTCGATTCTCCATGGTAGACGCAAGTGCCGCAACAACTTCCGCAGTGAGTGGCGACGATATG